TGAAAGTATAAAATGATATGTATAAACTACAAAATTGAAAGAAATATTTGTTGTTTTCTGTCTGCCTGTCTGTGATTTATATCTATAATTTGTAATATAAGGAACCACTTCTTTTCTATGTAGTTTTTCGCTAGCTTGTCTCATTAAAAAGATGTGTGTACGCACGTGGATAAGATAAGTAATAATACCCAGGTGCACACCCTCAGGGTCCACTTAGTATGGGTGTAAAATTTTAGGTTTCTAGGTTCTTTCCTCTTGGAGCTATGTTGGTCACATTTCTATGTGGTTTTTCGCATAAAAAGAATGCGCACCTGCATGCGCGAACGCATATGGATAAAATGTGTAATACACAGGTGCACAACATCAAGGTCCACTTAGTATAGATGGAAAATTTTAGGTTCTTTCCTCTTAAAGCTATGATGTTCACACCTACACAGACATGCACGCGCGCACACACATGCATGTCTGTCTGTCTGTGATTTATATTTGTAATATAAGGAACCACTTCTTTTCTATGTGGTTTTTCACTAGCTTCCCTCGTTAAAAGATGTGCACGCGCTTGTGCGAACACATATAGATAAAATAAGTAATACACAAGTGCATACCATCAGGGTCCACTAAGGATGGGTGCAAAATTTCAGGTGTCTAGGTTCTTTCCCTTTGGAGCTATGGCAGTCACACTTCTTTTCTGTGTGTTTTTTCGCTAGCTTGCCCCATTAAAAAGATGCACATGCACGCGTGTATAAGATACGCAATACCCAGGTGCACACCCTCAGTATGGGTGCAAAATTGCAGCTGTCTAGATTCTTTCTCCTTGGAGCTATAGTGGGCACACTATTTTTCTATGTGGTTTTTTCGCTAACTTCCCTCATTAAAAAGATGCGCACGATAATGCGCGCACGCACGTGGATAAGTAATAATATACTTAGTGTGTGTGTGTGCAAAATTTCAGGTTTCTAGGTTATTTCCTCTTGGAGTTATGACGATCTCACACACACACATACACACACTTTTATTATTTTAGATTTTAAATAGTCATATTAGGTAAGTAAGGAAACAGAATAGAACAAAATTTAAAACGAACAAATAATTTGATATAAGTGGTTTAAATAAGTAGCGTTTTACAAGTCATGCAGGACAAAGTGAACTTGCTAGACTAGAAACTGGCATAATGGTACGTTCGAATCTTGTTGTGAAATACACACGGTGTGAGTAGTTCGGAGTCACACAATTGTACCAGGGTATTAATTGGTATTAATTGATAATTTCTTAAGTCCTTTGCATAACCTGTTCTTTGTGGTTGTTACTTTGCAGTGTAACTGGATAACTTTCTTTGCTGTAATTTTACAAGTAAGTGTGAAGAAAAATTTACAATTAAAGAAAATCTAACATCAGCCTGCTGTTGAATGAGCTGAATAAAGCAGTGTTTTCAAACCTTTTCGATACTAGGGACCGGCTCATTGCCTCTCGAAAATGCAAATATAAAGAAAAACTATTACTATTTATATATCAATATTCTGTCTTTTTGTGTGTGTGAAATCCCATGGATCAGCAAATTGGTCATAATGGATCACTGACGGTCTTCGATCAGTGATTGAGAAACCCTGCTATAGAGGACAACGTCATTTCCCATAATGCTTAGTGTGTGATGTAATGTGCAGATATTTTATACTAAATTACATTCGTGTTTTAGGGTTTGAGAGTAAGTAGAGAGGTCTTGGTTGTTGATTAGACAAGTCATACAATTTTCATAATTTGATGACTAGGAACGGACTTGTATAGTTTGAGACAGTGAGTCTAATAGTTTGTTTGTTTGAATTTATGCACAAAGCTACACAATGGGCTATCTGTGCTCTGCCCACCACGGGTATCGAAACCCGGTTTCTAGCGTTGTAAGTCCGCAGACATACCGCTGTGCTACTGGGGGGCGAGTCTAATAGTAATAAATTTTGGAGACGGCCCGAATGGGATAACAAAGAAGACAAGTTTAACATAGTAACAAATGTACAACGTCTCAACCAAATTGATCATGACAGTTGTATAATATTACTACTAGTACATTAATATTACTGTACTGAATTTGCTGAAACCTGTGGAGTATAAAATATTAAATGTGAAATCTCGATCAATTTTTACAAATTAGACTGAAATTTTAGTGGCATTGTAACGAGTATTAGTAATCTTTTTAAAAAGTTACCCAATGAATTTGGATTTAGAGAGTTAATTCCGTTTTCATTTAAATTTATTTCCGTAGTTGACAATGATGTGAACTCGCTAAAGCTGTATTATATTTATAATATACGATAAAACAGGTATACCATATTTACAACTTTATTACAAGAACTGAAACTTTGAAAGTGAAACTGAATCATAATGATCAGCAATCAAGATCGTTCAAAATATCGTGCGTAAGCCTTAAAAAGCTAAATGATGTCAAGCGTTTTTGATATTTGAGTTTGACTAGAACAGTACTGAATCATTGAATGCCTAATTGAGCAATTCAATCTTCAAAAGTAGTTCAGGTAGCGAAATACAGTATAAAGACAGCAGATGTATTCTCTTATTCAACTGTTTCGAGGTCCGGAAAGGACTGAACAAGATCAACCAACTACAGGTAATGTTGGTATTTTATTCTTATTGATTAATTATTACAATATGTAGGTTATTTAGATTTTATTTCAGTAGTTACAAGAATATTGTAATTCTGTTGCCAATACTTTTTATCTCGTGACATTTTATTTTTATGACTGTGATAAGACTTGTCCTGAAAATCATATGCCAGTTATATATAATCTTGCTTCTGTAGTAAGAAAAATTCTAGTCTGAAATTAAAAGAAGCTTTACAAAATCACTCAGTGAAATTAAAGCCAACATGTATTCAACAAAAGAGAATCTTGCTTACTAATCTGTTTTCTTCTTTTGAATACATTACTTGTGTGGATGAGAAAAAGGCTGGACTTAGTTTTTCAAAAAATTCTTTTGGTAATGTACTACACAAAAAATTAGTAAATAAAATCACACAAGTAAGAATTGGGAAAAACTAGTCATTGATAGGGTAATTGGATGTGAAAAAGCAAAAGGTTGCTATTAATGGAGTCTGTTCAAAGTAGATCCTTGTTACTAATACTAATAGAGTATTTCAGGGTTCTTTTCTTTGTTTTTTCTTTGTTCTTTTGATTTACATTGACAGCATTGATAGGAGCATATTAAGTAAATTTGTAAAGTTTACTGATGCCATGGAAGTCTTGGGTAGTTTTAGGTGTATAAGTGTATTGATGATGTTGAGGTACTGCAGAATGGCTTGCGTCAATTGGTAAGTTAAAGGAAAAACATTTGAGAAATGACCTTAATTATAGTAACTTAGTAAATGCAAGGTAGTGTATTTGGTCACACATTTAATATAGATGAGAACCAACTAAATACCATTATTGAAAAAATAGGATTTTAGCAAAATGGTTGATAAGTCTTTTTCAAACCATTGAAACAGTGCTCTGCTGCTTGTAATAAACCCAATGTTAGTATATTTTTAGAAATATTTATTTTAGCATCAAAAGAAGTAATCACTAGTAAGGCCTCACCTGAAATATTGTGTACAATTTTGATATTCTTTTCTAAGAAAATAATATTGACTTACTGTATAGGGTTCAGAGGAGGGCAACAAGGATGATTCCAAGGAGAGAAGGTTATCTTATAATGATAAGATCTCTTAAGTTGTTTTCTGTGAAGAAAAGAAGAATAAGATATTATTGACATTTACAAGATCACGTTTATCAAATTGAGAGCATAAAGGCCTATGATTCTTTTGTGCTGTATTCTGAAGATAATAGGATGAGAGGAGACAAGTTTTAAGATTTGAGAGACAGGATGGGGTCCAGTGAAGACAATTTATTTCTCTAACAGGATGTTTGACTTATGGAATGAGTTGTTGTCAACAGTAGTGGAAGCCAGCACTTTGCTGGAGTTTAAGAGGGGAATCAATGATTTCCTGAAATGTAGAAGTTGGGTTTAAATTTTTACTTTTCCCAAGGGTGGTAGTACAAGGACAGCCTTGAAAGGCCAAATGTTTTGCAAACTCTGAAAATAGTGAAAAATTGGATGTATTGATCTTTAAGTATTTTCTTCTGTTTCCTTATATCTAAGTACTAAACAAATGTACAGATAGATTTTTTTAATCCAAACTATTTCATTGGAGTAAATTCTAATTTATGAAGATAAAATTTTGTTAGTTATGTATAATTCAACAGCATAGGGTACAATGCTGAGCTATGTTCTTTTAAGTATGGTTTGTTAAAACTACCATTTCATGATGAACATCTAGTGTAACCTATTTT